TACCCAAGTATGTGAAAGTACGTTCATCACTGTGTGATGACAGTGTAAGAAACCCTTTCCAGGTGGCTGGAAGTCATCTGGGCATTTCCTTTCTCTCTGAGGGAATAAACTTCCTGGAAGACAGTCGAGGAGGAGCTATTGATGTGAAATGCCACCAGCAGGTCACATGGAAGAGTGCAGGCAGGCATCAGGGTCACCCATGACCAATGACTGCCAGAGAGGAGGCCAGGGCCACAAGGGAGCTGACTGGAGCTGGGCAGGTAGCACAAGACTGTGCGTCCGGCACTGTGGGAGGCTGAGGCAGAGACTGCAAATGTGAACCCAGCCTGGACAGTCAGTGACTTAGGGAGACCCCAACTCAGAATAAAAACAAATAAGTACAGAAGGCTGAGATTGTAGCTCAGGGCCAGCTCCCTGGCTTCAGTCTTCAGCACCACAAAGAAGCAAGTGACTTGGCTAGGATAGAGATTAAAAAAAAAGGCAGAGAACAAATAAAATAATATTTTCTCTCCTTTTTTTCTTTTAAGAGGCAAGACGTGTTCCCCCTTTTATTTGCAGAATGGAAACAAGTGCTCAAAGCTACGTTTCTGGGGTCCATACAACTAGAATAAATGGCAGGTGACTTTGAATTCAACACGTCCAGTGATTTTATCATTTTCCCACAGTTTCTTTAGGAGAAAATAGCATCAAAAAACCCTCCAAAGATAAACCTTTAAGGATCTCTGTCAGAGAAGAGCCCTTTTGAATGAAGACAATCACTGCCAAGGGTGCCGGTTAATTGCACAGGACCCTACACTATATGTAAATGTAATGAGTCAGGAACTTCCCGGTTGTTTAGGATTCTAGAAGGATAATAAGCTCCCAAATATATTCTCAGGATGTGTTGGAGAAACCAACTCCACTCTATTGGCTTCTTCATACTGTAACTCAAAGATTTTTGGGTTTGATTTTTAAAATTTTTTTTTTATTTAGAGATAGGATGCTCTACTGTTGCCTCTTTCTGTTGGTTTTCTTTTCAGATTTATTTTCTAATATCTACATGACATTTTTCATTGTGTGATTTTTTTTAATCGGTACCAGGGATCGAACTCACGACTGCCTGATTGTAAGGCAGGATCTGATGCTGCTGAGCTAAATCTCCAGCCCCCATTGTGTGATTGTTATGGTTTGTGTCTAGATGTACTTCCAAAGCCTCATGCAGTCATAGGTGAGGGTTTTCAGAAGTGACTAGACCCAGGGTGTGTGATGCCAGGACTGAAGATTTGAGGACAGTTGCATGGTGTATTCCTAGGACTAAGGGTGTAAGTGCCGCCTCCTTAAGGGCAGGTAGCCTGGATAAAATACAAGAGACAGAAAGAGGGCTGTGGTCCCTTGTTGCCTTTCATGGTTGGTTGCTTGCTCCTGCTGCCCTTGCTTTTTCATGAATGATTTCTCTGTGCATCCTGCCCTGCATCCTGCCTTGGAGCCAGCCACCTATAAATTGAAACCTCTACAAACTGTGAGCTATAATAAACCTTTCCTCTTTTAACTTGGGGTATTTTGTCTCAGCCACAAGAACAATAACGAAGACAGTGATCTAATATTCTTTGTGTGATAGTGTATTCTATCTGCATGCTTCTACCACATACAAAGATTATATCTTTCTTTTAGTTTTTGTTTTGAGTGTAAGATTAGTTCTTTGGACTTCCGGGAGAACATGGCGGACAGATAACAGCAACTACCGGAGGCTCTCTGAAACTAGGCTCAGAAGCCAGGTATGGTGCGGACTAAAGAGACATAAGCAGGTGGAGTTATGCTCTGCTGACTCAGGAACGAACTCGGCTGAGAGAAACCAACTTGGAATGCAGTCCTGGTGCTAAAACAGGAACAGAAAAGCCTCGCTGCTGAGGCTGGACCCCACGCCATTTGGGTTTCCCGCCGCGCGGTGGCTGGCTGCCTCTACATCGGCTCGGCAAGGAGAGAGACGCACGGAAACTCTGAGAACCGGAGTCTGTGAACGGAGTCAAAAACAGGACGGGCAGGGAGGCATGTTCTGACTTGTGGCCAGGTGAGTGAGAGAAACTGACACTCCACCACAGTTTGACTCCAGCAGACTTTCTGGGCCCAGGCAGTCCTGCGGGAGCAGGGTGCGGTGGCGACTCCAGCCACACATTCCCCTCTCGGGCAGGATTGGTGAAAAGTGCCTGGCCTGCGTGACGCTGCCGGCGGACCCCGTAGGCTGGCCCAACCCAGATCCCAGAGCCCGACGGAGGCCGGGAGGGGCGGGCCCCACGTAGGCTGCCTGGTGTGCAGCAGTGAGTGGGAACACCTAATCGGCGCAATTCGATCAGGCTGTGGCTGACAGAGAGAGAAGCTGGGCCTCTCATATAAGCTTGCATATATAAGGAACAGAGAATATGGGAAGAGGCAGCAACAAGAAAGGCTCCTCGGCCCCCAATTCTGAGAAACAGGCAATAGCAGACACCGCACCATTACACATAAGGCGCCATTTAGAGAGCCTCATAGACCAATTCAGGAATGAAGTTATCAACGACCTGAAGCTAGAAGTATGCAAAATAGTTAGAGAAATGCTAAGCACCATCCAAGAAAAAACAGATGGTGGAATGGAAGAACAGAAAAAGAGGGGAGAAGTGTTTGATGGAGAAAACAGGGAAAGCATAGAATACGTGAAGCAGGTTCAAAGGGACTACCAAGAAACTAAGAAGTCTATCGAAGACTGGCATAACAGCTTGAAAGAAACTAAGGACAGACTATCTGAACTGGAGGGCAGAATTGTAATATGGGAGAATGAAATGAAAAACTTCTTAAAAATAACAAAGAAACAAACAGCAATAATACAAAGACAAGAAGATGATAAGAGGATCCATAATTTAAGGATTAAGAACATAAAAGAAGAAGTAGGGACACAAACAAATGAACTACAAAAGCTACTCACAGAAATAATCCAGGAGAATTTTCCTAATTTAGAAAAAGGTAAAGATACTCAGATGTATGAGGCATACAGGACCCCAGCTACCTACAACCCAAACAGAGCAACACCCAGGCATATAATAATAAAAATTCCAGAAATTCAATACAAGAACAGAATATTAAAAGCTGTCAGAGACAAGAAACAGACCACTTACAAGGGAGCACCCATCAGAATTACAGCAGATTTCTCTGCACAAACCATTAAATCACGAAGAGCTTGGGGGGAAATAATTCAAGCTTTGAAAGATAATAATCTCCAGCCAAGATTGAGATATCCTGCACAACTGTCCCTGGAAATTGATGGAAAAACAAGGTGCTTCCAGGATAAAGAGGAACTGGGGGAATTTGCAACCACCAATTCAACTCTACAGAGAGTATTGCAGGATATTCTAAAAAAAGAAAAATACAAAGAATCCAGAAATAATGGAGGCCACAACGAATGGAGCAGAGAACAAAGTGAAGAAGACAAACTGACAGCTACTGACAGAATAAGAGCTCAACAGAAATGAGGCAGAGAAGATTGGATGATAGGAACAGCTATTTTGGAGAAAATGACATCTTAATAGGTAATACTGATTTAGTATCATCTTGTTTTGAAGTCTCATCTAGCTTTTGTCCTTCTGTCTCCAATGGTCCAAATAGGTTGTATCTTACTGGATTTTATTATGTACGATAGTATAAGCAAAAACCTTTTAAAGACAAGGAGATTATACAGAAACCATTGTTCATTTTCTGTTAGTCGATTCTAAATACTCTGTAATGCTGTCATTCTCTTAAATGGTTTTACATTGTTTTGATATACTTAACGCTACAGTATACGAAGTTGTACTCAAGGATTTCAAGGAAAGAGATAATATGGTAACTACTTTTAGGTCAGGATTATCTGGTGGTGAAACACTATTCTGCTTAAATGGTTATGTTTTGATCTGTGCTGTTTCGTTGTTATGCCCTCTTTTATCTCAATCTCCACTCCATTATTTACTTTTTTATTTTTATCCTTTTAATTAAAGGAAAAAAATAGCAGGATATATTATAGTAACCCACTTTGACTTTCCATTACCTCGATTTAAAGCCCTGTATTACTCTCACCATCTGGTTTTTAACTGATGTTCCCCTACTCTGTTTTGCTGGATAGTATCAGGTTCGAAAATTTAGGTATCAGCTGTGAAGATAATGAGATTCATTATAACGCCCATTCTCATTGACTTTTATCTATTTTTGAAGACCTACAATGTCTCCAATGTTTTGGTTTTGTCGGTTTTATTCTTTACTGTTTTGTTCAATTGTATTGTAACTAACGATATAGGCAATTCTATTAGAGATAGCGGGAGGCATTATGGTAACCATTGTTGATCACCTTGTATTATGTTTTCACATTATCTATTATGTCCACCCTTTTGACTTGACCAATTCTGTTCTGTTATGTCACATTTGGTTTTACTCTCTTCCAAAAAAGTAATAAGAACCATGGGAGCAATGAAACCCAAAATGTGTAATAGTCATTGTACAAAAGAGAGGAAAAGAAAGTGCTCTATACTATATAACTGCATGTATATTTAAGTGTATAAGATAGAAAATGATATCACAGAGTTTTATTGAATCATTGAACAGAACTGTTTGCAGTATCATTGATGGAATGTCCACTTTACAAGCTTTAATTTTGTGACTTGAACAATTATTTCTAAGATGACAATATGTAATCCATTAACTAGTAATTTCCTACTGTTCATTTTTTTTTCTGTAAATCTGTATAACTTGTACCCTTTCTCTGCTTTTTTTTCTTTTCTCCTTAAATAAAATTTAAAAAAAAAAAAAAAAAAAAAAAGATTAGTTCTTTGTCATATACTCTTTTATCACTATGACAAATCACTATGCCAGAGCCTGGCACTGACAGTCTGTAGGAAATGGTTAAAGTTGAAAAGGCATGTTGCTCTCATTTCTTTCTCTCTACCTTCACCCCCTTTTCATTGCTAATCTCCCTTGTTTTATCTTTCTTTGCCATCCCCTTAACCCATCCCCTTCTGCTGTAGGTATGATGAAGCCAGTTGGGAACCTGGGGGCTGCTGCCCCGGGGGTGATGGTGCCTCCTGGTCCACCACTTCCTGGACCCCATCAGTTAGGCCCGAATGCAGCTCATGCCTCAGGTCCTTCTCCCCAAAGGTGAGTTAAGTTGATTTCAAACCTCATTTATATACTTTACTAAAATTGTTCAAAGGTATCCTGTAAATTTGTGTGTTACTAGTTGAAAGTTTAACCTCTTTAAAATGTCCACATTTGAGGGGGCTGGGGATTTAGCTCAGCAGCATAAGCCACCTGCCTTGTAAGCCGGCAGTCGTGAGTTCAATCCCTGGTACCGATAAAAACAAAAAAGACAAAAAATAAATAAATAAATAAATAAAATAAACCTTTAAAAAAAATGTCCACATTTGAAAAGATCTACTGGAAAACTGCCCCAGGAAACAAAGCATTTAGAAAAACTAGGGAAAAAACGATTAGCACATATTTTAAATATATCACAGATTACTTCTGTCAATGCTGCACATTTCAATTTTGAGTTATATTCACTTAGATTTTGTATGAATCATTAATTCTTCAACCATCTATGATGTATGAGTATCTTGTTCATAAAACTTTAAATCATTGTCCTTTTATGTCCTTCGCAGAACGGAGCTCAGTGCCAACAAGTGCTTAATGAATATTATAAAATAAATCAGATGAGGCCAAAAGGAAAGTAGCGCCCCAATGCAGCAGGCACACAGATGCCAGCGAGGAACTCTCAGTGCCAAGGGGTATCAAAGGCAATGCAGGACCTAAATCTCATGGTTTTCAAAATAATAAACTGAGAAAAGAAGGTAGAGGCGGGCTAGGAAAAGTCAAGATATTTGATGCCTGAGATATTTACAGCTTGCAACCCTCAAGGGACTGTCACCTGGGCTGGGAGCCAGCGTCATACCTTCCATGCTAGAAATCCCATTATTGTTCTGTGAGCTGTTGCTGCCACCAGAGTCAGGCTCTGGCAGCATTTACCTTGGAGCTTCTCCAGGGATGCCCGGGGTTCTCTTCCTGGCTTCCTCCATGGGTTGTTATATTGGGGTGAGGAGAAGGGCAGGGCAGGGCGTAACTCTTGCATGAAGCAGGACCTTGCCAACTGGGAAGCCATTGAGTAACTCTTTGAAGAAGCCCAGAGAGCTGCTAATAAGAAAACTTCTTCAGAGATGTTTTACAAATCAAGTTAACTTTCTTGTGGAACAGTGGGCAGGTGACTGACCTCTGTCAGACTCTGTTGCTAAGCTCTTAGTTGGCACTGAGGAGTGGGAGTCAAGACATAGGACACTAGAGAAATAATTACCTGTAAAGGCAGAGAAATTAAACTCAGAGTGTACTATCTGGGAAAATTTAATTTTTATATAAAATTTAAATTAGTAAGAAAAAATGTGACTCGAAGGCCGCCTAACCAAATAGGAACACTGCCTACTTGCAGTGTATGCCTGTGCGCCATGGTTTAAATAAACACACAAGTTCTAACTGAAAGGTAAAGAATAATGAATTTTTTAGATTAAAATAAAGCTGCAAAACACGTTACTGAATTGTTCACTTGCAAGTACTGTTTTGTAGGAAATGCCCTAATTGACTTCAGATTACAGTGCAAATGATGCTTGTTTAAAAATCAGACAAGATATAAGCAGAAAGATCACAAAGGTGTAACTTCAAGGCATTTAGTTTTGTTGATTTCTCTTCTACTGGTGATTAACTTCAATAAACATGAAGCTGTGGTGAGCTCAGCTTCCTAACTTGATTTCCAAATCAGGTTCTGTGTTCACATTAGGAATTTTCTTTTTTCTGTCTTTATATATTAAACATGTGACCATGGATATGAGATGATGCTGTATGATTCAGTTTGATCTCATGTCAAGCTTGGCATATGATATTAATCACTTTCTAATGTCCATAGAAATGGTTTCATAATTTTACAAGTTATTGACATTTACGATAACTTACTTAAGAAATTCTATCAGATTGTTTGGCATCCTTTTTTCTCTCTCTCAGATTTCCAGGCCCTCCACCTGTCGTCAGTGCGGCGCCCACTTATGCACAGTACCAGCCTTCTACACAGTCCACTTATGCAAGTCCTGTGTCCACTTCATCTGTTACCCATCTGGGCAGTCAGCTCAGTCAGCTGCAAGTCAACAGCTATGGTAACCACAGTAGTATTTATTGACTGTCTTGCACAGTAGTATTTATTGACTGCTCTTGTCCTTAGGATTGAGCACAGGGACTTTTCACTGAGTTACCATTTATTTACTCATTTATTTATTTTTATCCTTTCATTTACAAGGTCCTACTAAGGCACTAAGCTGGCCAGGCTGGCCACAACTTGTATTTTCCTCCCTCAGCCTCCCAGGGTGCTGGGATTGCAGAAGTGTGCCATTGTGCCTAGCTATTATTATTATTTTTAATGAGATGTAGTTCCTTCGTTTTAAAGATGATAAACATAAAGCTAAGCATGGTGGTGCACACTTGTAACCGCAGCACTTGGGAGGCTGAGGCAGGAGGATTGCTGCAAGTTTGAGGCCAGCCTGAGCTGCAAAGTGAGTTCAAGTCCAGTCTGAACTGCATAGCAAAGCCCTGCCTTGAAAAGACAAAAAACAAAAAATAGTAGACATAACTGGCATACCATGTTGAAGTAGTATTTTAGATTCTTTATTTAAAGTCATTGGTATTATATATATGGATATAATTTTTTCCTGATCATGTTGTCACTTGTTTCAAGATTACTGAAAAAAGCACCCTCAGAGTACCTTACATTCAATGTTGGAGCAATAAAAAACAAAATTATGACTTCAGAAATAAACATTAGAATAGTGAAAATATTTTAATCACTGTTTCATCACAGTGTATTTAATTCTGTTTTGATCTTGAAAGGAATGAAAGTCAGATGTCAGAAGACAGAAAAGAGGAGGGGAGAAAGCAGACGGTTAATTGCATCCGTAGAAATGCTGTATATTCCCAGAGCCATAGGGATTTCCATTGTCATAACAACAGAGTCATTTATCTTGATGAATGATATTTCCATGTTAATTAAACTTAAGTTTTTAGAAGTATCACCAAAATTCTCGCAGAATATTTCCTAAGTTTTAAAGGCGATTGTCTTGGGGCTTGTGGTAGAGCTCAGTGTCAGAACATGTGCCTAGTACGCACCAGGCCCTTGATTCAGTCCCCAGCACTACCCCCAAAGGATCAGTCATAAATAAATGACTCAGCTTCGCAGAATTAGAAATAGGAAGCATGAAGATGGCCCAGACTTTTTCTCTGATTATTTTTACTTACTTTTTTGATCAAGTTATGCACATAAAGCATGTATATTACTGAATCTATAAGTTATCTGAATAAAGCTTGTTACATAATAAATTTTCCTACTATATGATTGTTAAGATCTTATACAGATATAGATGCGTTAATTAATGTGTCATTTAAATTTAGTGCAACTGAATTAAAATTTATTCTCTTTTACTAAAATTAAGAATGTTGCTTTGACCTTTTTAAAATTTTCCAGTTGTATAAAATGCCCCAAGTAGCATTTATATTGCCTCCTAAGGGAACATTTCAATTCACATTTAAAAAAAAGAGAGATCATGTGGAAAGCAGGCATACCTGTTATGTGTGCCATAGACGTCAGCAATTCGCACAGTCGGCATTGAGGCAGCTGGTCTTCTTTCTTGCACAGGTTCAGGCATGGCTCCCCCTGGCCAAGGGCCCCCTTGCCCTCCGTTGGCAGCATCCTTTCAGGGTCCTCCACGACCTCCACAGCCTCCACAGCCGTCCATTTTGCAGCCTGGATCCCAGGTTCTTCCACCACCGCCGACCACACTGAATGGCCCCAGTGCCTCACCACTGTCTCCACCCGTGCACAGACAGGATGGCCTCCCTGGGCCACCACCTCTGAGTGCCCAGTACCAGCCCCCGCCCCCGCCAGGCCCTGTGATGGGTGCTGGATATCCTCCACAGCAGCAGGGTAAGGTGGCCAGAATGCTTAACAGGGGAAGCCTGGGGGCTGGGGATTTAGCTCAGCGGCATAAGTGCCTGCCTTGCAAGCACGTAGTGATGAGTTCGATCCCCGGTACTGATAAAAATGAAAAAAAAAAAAAACCCCAGGGGAAGCCTGAAGTGGAAATCAGCTTCATTGCTATATCACTTGCCTTTGAGGAGTGATACTTTCTGAGTAGTGTGGTAAGACCAAAAATACAGAGAACTTAGGTATTCATGCTTAATTCCCTGACCTATTTAATAAGATGAAAATATAACATGTTTGGCTAGACAAGTTGGCTAGACCTATTGTAGTATTGGCAGTGAGTCTTACATCTGGGATTTGGGGTTATGTTTCTTTTTAAATTTTTCTTTCCAAGCAGCCAACTATGGCCCGCAGATGGCTGGTGCACAGCTCTCCTACCCAGGAGGCTTCCCTGGGGATGCTGAGCAGATGGCTGGGCCACTCCCACCCCAGAAGAAGTCGGATCTTGACTGCATCCCCAGCCCTGTAAGTGTTCTTCTCCTTCTCAGGGACCTTTCTTCATCCATTGTGCTCAGAAACTCTTTCAGAGGGCAGCACTCAAGCTGCCCTTGATTCTGGATGTTAGGAGACACATCACTCAAGGAGGCTTCTTCCCCCTTCTTTGAGTGTGTGTATGTGGGGAGGAGGGTGAGGGCGTGGGGTGCACACCAGGATTAAAGAGATCCTGGGGGTGTCCAGAGAAAACTGGCCCCGATGGAGGTGGGAAAAATAGGAGGCCCTGACCTGCTAGATGTCAGATAATCCAAGTTTTTGTGCCACTAAATAGAAGAATAACTTCTAAAGAACAAGGGAGATTACAAGGAGAAATGGTTTATTGAGAGATAGTTCCTGAGAGACAAGAGGGGTCTGGACAGGGGGTTGCCACTGAGGTAATTTCTCTAAGAATGTTTTATTGAGCAAAATCATGAGGTAAGTACAGTGTGGGTGGAACTGTCATCAACCAGTAAGAAAACAAGTATAGTAAGAATACAAGTATATTGGATCAGATAATACTGATCCAATACAGAACCAGTACAGGTTGTGCAGCAAGAGTACCTGGAAAGAAAAAAGGCATTTTGGGGAAAGAATGGGTCCAGGTGCTCTATTTGGACTTCACTGGACCGGGAAATACCAGTTATAATATAATCTCAGATTATTGCTTATCCCTCGTGGAGGCATGTAGACCTCCTCATTCCATCCTTATCATGAGGCCTGTCCTTTTTAGATATGCCTGACCCGTCCCTTTTGATGTCTTCATTTTTCTAACTTCATTGAGAGCACAGTGCTTCTCTGACTGTGTATTAATTTCTGTGTAACTTAACTGCCTGTCATAGGAGAGGCTTCAAGTCACATTGAAAGGGCACAGGAAGGGAGGGGTGGCGAATTTGGGCTACTTTTGCAAGGTACATTGCTCATTCTGTACTTAATGTAAATGTAAAGATTTATGGTGAAGAGTCTAATGCTTATACCATGTGTCTTATTTTTCTCAATGCTGATACAAAATGCCCGACACCCAAAGTTAAAGTGGTGTTTTACTTACTTTTCTCTCCTTGCTGAGGCAAACTACCCAGCACACAGAGTTAGAAGAGGAAACATTCATTTAGCTCACAGTTTGTAGAGATTTCAGACCATAATTGGCTGGCTCCAGGTCAGGGTGGCCTGACAGAGGAGAACAGTTCACAGCAGGCAAAATGTAGGTAGGCAACAAGGGAGACCCAAGACTCTTTCTGTCATTTGTATTGTGCAGGTTCCCCGTACTAGGGAGGGTGTAGCACTCACACCCATAAGCCAGTCCAGAGCTATGGCAGACCCATCAGTGGACTGATTTCTGATCACACAGCCTTAATCCCCACACTCTTAACCCCAGCATTGTTCTGCGAATCAATCACACACTCTAGATTTAGCCAAACCTCTGAAAATGAAACCTTATGACTGCATGAGACTTTGTTGGGACATCTAGACACAAACCATAGTCCGGGAAAAGGTTGATTTAGCTTACAGCTTGCAAAGGTTTAGTCCACAGTCAGCTGACTCCAATGCAGGGTGGTCTGGCAGCCAGTCCTCACACAGGAGAAACATTCATGGTGGGCAAAAGGGAGCAAAGTAAAGGAGGGGGACTTTGGCAGCTTTTTTTCTGCCCCCTTTATACATTATAACATGTTAGAAATTAAATGTTAACAACTCAGAGCTTTTACAGTGGGCCCTCAAATTACAACCAGCCTGACACATGAACAATTTGAGTTATGACTGAAATTTTAGTTTTAACTTACGACCAAAGTCTTGAATTATGGTCTGAATGCTGCCTGCTCATGCTTCCAGATGGTCTAAGGTAGAGATTTAGACTTTGTAGAGTTCTGGAAGGTACGGGACAGTGTCCTTCCCGGTATGGGATTAACTGAGAAATCCTAGGTCCAGGTCTAAGGGCACAGATCTGCCTGTGTGCAGGAGACTTTGAAGGCTGTGTAGAGGTGTCTGAGCCTTCTACTGACGACTTACAGCCAGCCTTCAGGAGTGAAGTGGGTTTGTAAGTCAAGGGTCCACTCTGTCTTTTTCATACTTTACTCACTAGTTTTATGACTTACGGTTATTTTATTATTCTAGATAAATAAGCATCATGTTTATATTGTGTTCTTATAATTGCCTGGAACATGCTGTTTATTTGCCACCCCTGACCCTCTGAGATACAAACCCTTCAGGCCTGCCAAGTATGCTGCTGGCCTCAGGCCTTTTGCACCTGTGTTTCTTCTGGCTTTTGCTCCTCTCCGCTTGTATCCAGGACCTGACTCATGCCCATCCTTGGTATCCCAGCACCCGCATTCATGTCACTGTGTGCTCACAGCACGTTCCACTGCTGGGCCCAGGGCGATTCATTTTATTATTGCCTGACCTGTTCACAAGGATGTCAGCTCCCCGATAGCAGTGGTTTTCTCTACTGTGCTCTCTCTCAATGCCTTGAACAGAGCCTCACCCGTGGGATGCATTTGTGTTTGTTGAGTGAAGGAATGAATGAATATGAACAACAAAAACAAGAAGCAATAGGTGCTGGATTCATCTAAAACTCTTCAAATAAATACATACAAGTCAGTCCTGTATTTATTTTTATCTGAAAAGTAATGAAATAGCAGTGCCAGATGGAGCTTGTGTGTGTTCCTATTACCAAAGTAACATGCTTTTTCTAACTAAATTCCCCTTTTTTGGAAAGATGTAAAATCATGTTTACTAATCTGCTGCCCTTTAGTCCTGAGTGAGCTGCATATTACAAACCTTTTAAGTGGTGACTGTAGCCGTACTTTGAAAGTAAGAAAGCTGATGGCATCATCCAGACTCCTCCTCGTACTGCGTACCCGCAGGAGGAGTATTCAGAAGCCCAAGGCTGCTCTTCCCACTCCTCGCACGGCTCCAGATTTCAGATGCTTCACATTCTGTCTTCTGTGACTCTGACCTCCTGCTTCCTCTTTATCCTTGTTCATTTATCTCAAGAGAGTTAGTTTTTTTCCTTGTTGATTCAGTTGTATGAATCGCAATACTTTACTTGTAGCAAATAAATGTGACAGTGATTCTAGTGGCCCAGCCTCTGGAGCCAGAAGATACTTTCACTTCTCAAGGGGCTTTAGCATTACCAGGAATCACTGTCTTTACATCAGATCCTATGGCTGTCTAGTTGCGGTCAGAATTTCCTTGAAATGCCTGCTTATTGTTACATTTCTAAGCATGTTTTTCAAGAATATATTTAGAGATAATAAAGCTCTAGAATATTTTTAACAATCACTAGAACTGCTATAATGTTTCTCACTCTTTAGTTTTGCAGCCAAGATATGGATTGATTTCGAAGCTGATTATCACTTACAATATTTTTTGTGCAGCGATAAGGCTTTGTAAATTACAGCTTGATAATTTTCAAGAAAACTTTTGGAAGTATAATCTGTTAAAGATTATTCAATATATAAATTTGATATATTAAGTATATAACTATATTATACTGATCTCATATTTAAGATGACTTCATTAAAATGATTGTAATAAATGTTGATAATATGAAAGCTACCTTCATTTTGAATGAACCTATTCACCTTGTGATCAAAATACAGAAAGTGATCATGGTGTTTTGAGTTTCCCATTTACTTTTTATCCTTGCCTGTGGTGACTGTTAGTCTCTCTGTGATTTTTGTACCATAGTTAATGTTTAGAACACATTTTGTGTTCCTAACATACTAATAGTAAAGTTCAATGAAATTTGGAAGACAGCTGTAAGTGCACTAAAGCACAGACTAAATCTGTTGCCCGCATTCAGGGAAACTGATGCCGTGTGCTGTCGATGTCATGTGGACTAGATAAGATGAAATGAAAAAATAGAGAAGGTAACAATTTAGAGTTTAGTGAAAGATAGTTTTTACATTGTTAATGGTTTCTTAAGGGCCATTAAAATCTTCATATCCTTAAGGGAGTTTTACTTTAGAAGGGACACACTTTTTGTTTCTCCTTTAAAAAAAAAATGAAACACTTTTCTTAAACTCTTGGATTTTTTTCCTCTTATCTTTTCTGTGAAGAAAGTTGTGAAGGGTGGGAGAAAAAAAAGAAGAAGGTGATAGGATCCCTTCTTACTTTATTAATTTCATACTAGATTTTTCTCATAATTTTCATCCTGAGTCTGTTATTTTTTAAAAAAGTTCTTATCAACAAGTATTTTTACTAGAGAAATTTGTTGGCAAATCAGATGATGATACAGGGAACTTTTGCTTCTGTTGATTTTTATATAATAGACAAACTCACACTGGAATACTTTATACTGTTTGCCTTATTTTTCACATGTCTCTTACATGTCATGGAGGAAACTTAAATGAGAAAATTGAAGATCAAGAGTAATTTTGAGGGGAACATTTGAGATTTAGGTCACATTTTGAAGTCATTTCTTCTGAATTTAATGATTTTTGGCTTTTTAGAATTTTGGTTGCAAAATGTATTTCCTTTTAAAGAGTTGTTTTAATTGCTTTTCCTACTATGTTATTCTACATGCTTGCCTTTGGTCTCAACAAATAAATTAAGAAAAAATAAATAAAATTCTTTGAAGTTTAGTGTTGTAGGATACATTTTGGAATCTGCTGACCTAAAATTGTAATCAAAGATGGAACTGAAGACATTGTGTGGGTTCTCAGTGAGAATCTGATCTGAAAGGACTCAGAAAATGTCTGTTAGCCTGAGTGAACGGAAATAAGGGGAGAAGGAAGGTGGGGAAAACAGTGAGCCAGCAGGGTCCTCCCAGAGTAAGAAGAGCCTTAACGTACTTTCCCTTGCTCTTGGTGTCTCTTTTGCCAGATCGAGGTGATCGAAAATGACAGAGCTATAAGAGAGGGACAAGTTTATGCCACCAACACTAGAGGCCAGGTGCCCCCCCTGGTCACTACAGACTGTGTGATACAAGACCAAGGTATGTATTTATAAACCCTTACAACCGTGTACAGTAGGTTAAGCTATATGAAATTAGTGGTTTCTTTTCCTGTCATCTACAAAAATGGAGATTTCATTTCAATCTAATAGTGTGACATAAACTTTTAAAAAATTTATTACTTAATATTTCAAATTCATATAAAAGTATTGGAGGTTCTGTAGCTAAAGAATATGCCTGACCAGCCTCCACTCCATTCCATTTCCTCCTCTACAAGTACCTCCGCCGTACCAGAGCCATCCTCCTCCTGGTCATGTCTCTGATTCTCAGTTAGTGTCAATTCTCAGCAATGTGGCAAAGACTGTTATTGTGTACCATTTTATCCCTAGAAAATCACCAGGTATCTAAAGCATAAGCATTGTCCAATAAGCATTCATTGAGCAATTATCTTTGGATTATATAATCCTTATCCCTTTGCTGGGGAAATCGTTAGTTCTTCCCAATCAACTTAATTTTTTCTTTAAAACCTTCTCTAATTTCTTCTTTTGGCACTTCGCATGTGCGTCTTTTACAGATGTTAACTTAATTTTTACTATGATTTGGTCTGTCTTTCCCACAAAAGTTTAACTACATGCCAACAGGGTTCTACTTGTTCATTCATCCAGTCATTCATATGCATGCATTTAGCAAATATTTATTTCGTATCTGTTATGTACGAGGCTGCTGTGTTAAGCCTGTGACTAATAATATAGTAATAAAATATGTATAAATTACCATTATTATTGTTGCTCATAGGTGCTCACTTTGTATCAGAACCATCTTCTAAGCATTTATAAGCGTTTAATCCCCCATAGCTTTATAATATAGCTATTTATATCATCCTTGTATTATAGCATAAGAAAATTGAGGCAGAAAATACATAGGTAATTTACCCTTCTACATTGTTGGTGGAAATGTTAGCTAGTAGAACCCCTATGGAAATCAGTATGGAGATTACTCAAAAACTAAAACTAGAAATTCCAGTTGATCACCTTCTTAGGTGATTTCCCTAAAAAATTAAAGACTGTGTTACAGTGATCCATACTTACACATAAATTATAGCAGCACAATTCATAGTAAGTAAATCTTGGAAATGGCTTACATGTCCATAAACTGGTGAATGGATAAAAAAAATGTGGCATGTATAAACAATGGAATGCTACTCTGCCATGAAGATGGATAAACTCGAGTCATTTGTAGGAAAATGGATGCATGTTGAGACCATAAAGTTAAGTGAAATAAAGCAGACACATGAGCTTAAATATGACCTGGTTCCTTGTCTTAGTTCCTTTTCTTTCATTGTTGAGACAAAATAGCTGATATCCAAAGTTAGTTATATGTTGGAGGTATCAGTCCATATTCAGTTGACTCCAGCCAGCAAGGTGGCATAGTGTCATGGTAGGGCCACAGCAAACAGCAAGCTGGAAGCAGACTGTAGAGAGGCACACCACCTTCTCACCTTAACGTCGTATGCTGGCTCCACCCGTAGGCGGGTGTAGCACTCATATTGCCAACCCAAACGCTAGACAATGGACCAACCACACATGCTAGATTTGGTCATGGCCACGATTGCATGCGGCTTGGGGCAGGACCACAGGAACACAAACCATAACATTCCTCTTACATGAGAAACTCAAAATACAAATGAAGAACAAAATAAAGATAGGTAATAAGAGGCAGGGAGATAGACCTTTCTCAAGTGGGAAGCAAAGATGGAGAAGGGAAGGGGATGAGAAAAGAATTACGTACCAGCTCTACACAAGGAAAGTGAATATTATGTACTGTAAACATACCCAAAAAGTAACGAGTGTGATAAATGTTATAATAGAAAGATAAAGAGCTTGTTTCCTCCTCATTTAAGTGAAAGGTAATTTACCAGCTAGCTAACCCAGTATCCCGCCAGAGTAGGAGACATCTAAACCGACTCTGAGGTGAACAAGTGCCAACCGGAAGAGGAGACGGGGATGGTTGCTTGGCAGAGGCACACGGTTAGGGGAGCAGGTGTGTCATGGAACAGCGTACTTTCAGGATCTTTAGGGGAAACACTTTTAAAAGCTGGATGTGTGTATGTGTACATGTATTTCATAACATTTGTCTCAGTAACCATTTTCTGTACAATCCAGCAATCCTAATTACACTCAAGTATTTGCAGCTATCAGGATTATTCATTCCCAGAGCATTTTTATTTCTGAATAAAAATGAAACTGTACCCATTAAACAGTAGCTTCCCATTCCTTCACTGCCACTAGCCCCAGGCAACCTCTATTTTACTTTTTGTCTTTATGAATTTGCTGCCTCTAGCTATCCCGAGTGAAATCATAAAGTATTTGCTCTTTCATGTCTGTCTTATTTCACCCTGCATGTTTTCATATGATTCATTCTCACTGTAGTACCTACTGGAATTGAATTACTTCTAAAACTAAATAATATCCATATATGTAGACTGTTGGATGATACATTTTGGTTATCCATTCATTTGATGGCGGATATTTGGATCTTCCTATGTTTGACTGTTGTGAATGATGCTGCTGTGAACATTGACGTACAAACATCCAGTGAGTTCCTGCTTCCGGTGCTTCTGGGTTTAACCTTGAGGTGGAATTGCTGGCTCACACTGGACATGTGTGAGGAAGTCCAAAGGGAGGAGCGGGAGGAAGAGAGGAAAGAGCCAGCCCTGGGGAGGGCCCAAGCCATCCTTACCCCCGCTCTGCCAGAGGAGAGAGCTGCCCTGGCTTGGAGCTCTGAAACAGGGCTGGTCACACCCTTCAGCATGAAGCCCTTCCCTTGGCCCTGCTTATTAGCTAATACTAGTTCACATTCTGGGATGTAGCCCAAAGATCTCAGACATGCGCACACATTCACAGATGCAAATAGAATACAGAGCCAAAGGGAGCCTTGACCTTCCTTTGTCTTTCTGACTTTCAGATATCAGGGCACTGAGGCCCAGGAAAGTTAAGGACTTGCCCGTGGCCACATAGCTGGTTAGTAGCAAGTGTTTGCTTTTCCTTACTGGATCCATCACTGACTAGCAAGGTGGCTTGGGCAAGTCATTTAACCTTACTGGCTCTGGGAAATTTAAATCAAAACTGTGTTGAGAGTTCATTTTGTCCTAGTCAAAATGATAATTATTGAGAATACAAAAAAGAATACATGCCGGTGTTAGGAGCAGAAGACATAGCATTTCTATACTGCTGGTAATGTAAGTTAGTACAGCCACATGAGAATAAGGAGGTTCCTCAAAAAACTAAAATCAGGACTATGTCTTGATTCAGCATGCCTCTCCTTGATATATGCACAGAGAACAGTTTTGGTTTTTGTTTCGTTTTTGGTACCAGGGATAGAACTCACGACCTTGCGCTTAGCAGGCAGGCAGCTTACACCACTGAGCTAATTCCTCAGCCCCCATGCACAGAGGAATTAAAGTCAGCATACCACAGGGATACCTGCATACCCTGTTTACTATGGCAGGATGTGTAAGAGCCAAGACAGAGCCAGCCTAGGTGCCCATCAAGATGAATGGATAAAGAAAACGCGGTACTATATATAATAGAGTATTATTCAACTATAAAAAGAACAAAATTTTGCCATTTGCACAAAAAAGATTCAACTTGTCCCTTGGCTCTGTCTTGTAGGAGCCTTCTGAAGCACCTCAGCCCTTGTGTGGTTGCCTCTGACCCAAAGTGGCAGAGCCCTTGTTGCCCCTGTGCCACTTTCTAGTGATTTGTTCTTCTGTAGTACTTAGCACACTACACTGCAGTTCTCTGTGTTCATTATCACTCTTTCCGACTAATGTGTGACGCCACAGACAACTCTGTTCTGTCTCTAATACCCTGGCATGAGGCCTTACTTCATAAATGCTTGTTGAACAAATAATGTGTCAAGTGTTTAGAGCCAGATTTTTTCATAGTGCTCTTTACTAAGCATTTTGAAGTTTGAATCTTAATTCCTTAAGTTGTTAAAGTACCCACTATGGCCATAGTTTTGAGCCCCACAGGGTTGCTTATTTACTTATACATTCATTTACTCGTTAATTCACTCATTTATTGCTTTTTGTGAGATTGTCATTCAGGTTGTCTCAAACCCACAATTTAGCTTCTTCTGCCCTCAAACTCATAGCATTTTTCCTGCCTCTCAGCCTCCCAAATGCCGGGGTTACAGGGGTGCACACCATGTCCATCTCACACTTGTTTATAAAAATAAATTCTCAATTGCTTTTGTAAGTTTTATTCTTTGTGTACATTATCTTTCTGAAATGAAATTTGTTTAGCTACCTTCATGAGAGCATTAAAATACATATTTCACTGTCAAAGCCCTGAAAGGTAACAAATACCCAATTTCATATACTAATGAAATTAGTATCTTATATAATTTTGACTGGTTAACATTGAGTACAACGGAAAATAAAAGTATTCAAAAGAGTATTAAAAAATTCTTAATTCATAGACTATGTGACATTATGTGATGAGGAAAGGAAGGATTTGTCTAAATATGACAAAATAGGAGTTCCAACATATTTGCACTCACTACCTGATTTTTTTATTTTCTTTCTTTCTTTTTTTTAAATGGTGAAAAAGTTTATTTGAAAAACTAAAAGTGTAAAATGAGGAAGAAACTGGCTCTACAGAGTGAGCTTGGGCTGAGTGAAAGAAGAGAAAGCAACATAAAAGGACACCCTGGAGGATGTGGCTGTCATGAAGAAAGCCACGAGAGCCGTGGTCTTTTACTGCTGTTCCCGTGACCGGGGTTCACTCTCTCAGTGCTCACCTGAACTCTTGCAGTGGCAGCCCGTCTACTTGTCTCTGGTTGTGTCCCACTCCTAGAGGTTGCTCTGCTTTGTGAAGATGGATCATCTTACTTTTGCTTAAAAAAGTTCCATTGTTGGCCATGGCAGACAGGACTAGTTTTCACTTGTCCAGAATTCAAGGCCTTCATGACTCATAGCCAGTTTTCTTGGAATGTTGTAGAGAGTTATGATGGATTCTATTCTCATTTTTGCTACTTGTTTATCTTTGACAAATCCCTTAATCTCCTGATGTCTTGGTTCCATCCTCAGAAAAATAGGATCATAAAGGTATCAATCCCCGAGGGGAACTGTGAACTAAAGTGAGTTTATGTGTAACAAACAGAACAATGCCCAACACACAGGCAGTTGCTATTATTATTATTATGATTAGTCTCATTGTTATCATCATCATCATGTTGTTGGTACCAGTATCCCCTTTCTTTCAGACTCCTGCAGGAGGAGCGGGATATGGCATACAGTCATGTTAATTTGTCCTCCACAATATTTTGTTTTTGTATCAGTTACTACAATTATGTAAAACTAAGAATATTTTATGTAAAAATCCAGATTTCTAGCTTGTCCTAAAAAAAATGTACAATTTGGCAACACTAGGTTAGAACAGAACAGCAGAGAACTTTGCGTTCATTCTGGGTGTGGGTCTTTCCAGTCAACTGCAGCCAGAGGAAGCCTTGCAGAGGTGCTGCGGGCCGGGTTTAAGCTCAGGACTGCAGCTGCACGTTACACTTCCCAAGACCTTTCACATCTGTGCTCTCCTTAGTGACAGTTACGCAGTGCTGCCCAGACCTGTAGCATCTCCGTCCCTCTTTGCTTTTTGCTCCTCCTGACTAAGAAAGTTGTGTGGATCTCACCCCCACACGGACCTTAAGGCCCACCTTCCTCCTCTTGGCCATCATGGGACATGTGAGCTTCTCTCCCTGGGCACTTACTATTGTAAGCCTCCCCTCTTTCTTCCATATTATCAGTATTTTTCTTTTTATGCAATGAATCTTATCTTTTAAAACAGAAATCCCTATCTAAAAAATAGAAATGTTTCCTTGATCTGCTTTCCTGACCCTCTTTACTTTGCTCCTTGTGCAGCACAGTCTGCAAGGCCGTCACCAGCTCTTCATCTGCCTCACACTCCCTCTGAGCAGGCTTCGCCCTGCTGGCCCAGCCAGACTCTCTGCTCAGGGTCTCCAGTCAGACTGCCAGCCTCTGAGCTTGCACTGGTCTAGCATAGAGTAGCATCTGACACTGTTGCCTTTTTCATAATTTACTTAATTTCATCTCTGTGGTGTCAGACCCTCCTTGTTTCATCCTCTTCACTCTGATAAGCCACTGACCTCTCATCTCTTTATGTTAGGGACCTCCTTGCTCAGTCATTGGTCATGTTCTCTTATTTAGCCACAGTTATTTCCTTGATAATTTTGACGTAGGTGCATGGCTTCAGACAGCCCATACCCTGAGACCCCAAGTGAAGGCTGCACCTCCCACCCGGACTTCGTGCACTGTCCACGTTCCCATACTCAGCTGTCTACTTGGCATTGCTATTTTGCTGTGTAACAGATTCGCAAGGTGGACATGTGCTACACCACATTCCTGATCTCTACCCCACGCGTTCTGTAAGAACTCCTTCATTTCCTGCATCCTTTCCCTTCTCTATGAATGGCTACTTTCTTAGGCCAGAAACCTTGGACCATTTCCCTTCTTGGACAGCTTCATACCACATACATTGTTCCCATCAGTAAATATATTACTGTACTCTCAAGATATACCCTGCATGTGCCCACTTTTTCGTACCTCTATTGCCAGGCAGCCGGTGCTCACCACACTTCACTGCTGTGCCTGCTGCAGTAGCCTCCTCGGTCTCCTTAATCCTGCTGCTGGGCATTATGCCCTTTCTCCAAACCACCATCAGAGGGGGACCTGGCTCTGTGCGTGGCACTCAGACTGCTCAAACCTGGCAGTCACTCTCCATTTCATTCAAATATAGGCAGAGGGCGGGCCATCTCAGGAGGCTACCTCCTCTGAGCTTGTCTTCAGCCCCTGTGCCTGACAGTGGCCCTGGGCATCTACCCAGGCCTCCTGCAGTTCCTCTGCTGGGCCAGACGGGCCCTTCCTTCAGAAGTCTGCCTGTGTAGACGCCTTGTCTCCTTAGAGTCTTTGCTTAAATGGCCCTTTTTAAATAAGGTCCACTGTGTACATATTTAGAATTGCCATCATCATCCCAGTGTTTGGCACCTCTTGCCAGATGGGCTTTTTCTAATGCACTATTTCAGCGTACTATGTTATTTCCTCATTCGTTAAATTTATTATCTGCTAGAATAATAAACTGTAGGGAAGCACCTGGGACAGTACCTACAGCACAGCTGAGACTCTGTGAATACGGCTTGATGATTGTATTCTTTTGGTCCTAATATGCTATAATTCCATCCCAAGATTTTAGATATTATTGTGGAGCTTAAAAAATATTTGTGGGTGTTTTGGATATTTAGAATTCATGTATGCTGTGAAATAGAGATATTTGATTAAGAAACCTAAGGTATTAAAAACATTAGCATGTTTTTAAAAATAATATTCCTTTGCAAATAGAATTTTGTTTCTAATTCAGTTACCAAGTTTAGAAAAAATAATCAAAATGGAATCAAACTTAACGGAGTATCACTCGATGGAATGAAGTGGTGTATAGATGTGTCCTCTTCACATAAATAGAACAGAGATAGAAAAAGGAAGGAGCAGTGTCTGACCCAAACTGTTGGATCACATATTTTTGTGCTCTTATTTTATATCCCACTGAATCTGAACAGCTCTCCACTCTGTACCCTAACCCGACTCATGGAAAATAACAGTAATTAAAGCATCTCTTTTATATCTGTATATAACTTGGGGTATTTAACAATAAATTTTAGTGTTTGTAGGATATAGATTGCAGAATTGCATATTACTTTTCCATTTTATGAAATGCAAATTTTGCAAATAAGGCAGTATATTTTAGAAGCATCTTTATAAATATTTAAGTGTCTTAGAAGATACCTTTTTCTAACCATGCTCTAAGCACATCCTGTCTGTGTTTCAGGCAATGCCAGCCCTCGGTACATCCGCTGCACAACGTACTGTTTCCCATGCACGTCAGATATGGCCAAACAGGCTCAGATTCCCCTTGCTGCTGTCATCAAGCCCTTTGCCACAATTCCTTCCAATGAGGTAAGTGAGTAAAGTAGTCACTTGATAATTTACCAATTCCAGAGTTATTTTTTCATCATTATTTTCTTTTTCTTTTTTTCTTTTTTTGTCGGTACCAGGGATCGAACTCACAACCACACAATTAAGGCAGGCGCTTATGCCACTGAGCTAAATCCCCAGTCCCCCCCCTCCTTTTTCATCATTATTTTCTTATGTTATTCAGTATTGCAAGCATAAAATCGAAATATACTTATAGAATGCAAAAACAGTCATTGAATTCATTAGGAAATTAGTTGATTAGTTCATTAGGAAAACAAAAATTTCACTATAGCCAAGTATTGATAGACTGAACCCACTTTCTGGTTTGCTATAACAATGAACATACACAGAATATGTGGACCATCTCATTGGGACCAACCACATGCCCTGTGTTGAGCCCCTTGTGTACTAGTGATCCCTAAAATCTATGCATTCTGTTAGAAGAAGGTAAATGCCCTGTAGTTCTTGGTCTTACTGTACACACTTTTTGATACTGGGGCCAAAATACTCATTAACTAAGTATTAGAGAGCATGCAGTTGAAAAATCTGTTTATATTGATGAGGAAAGATACACCAAATGTGTGATCAGGAGGAAAAAAAGAAGTGGTATACATTTAAAATCCACGGTATTAGGAAGCTATATTTGATCAGTGTATCCAGAAATAATCTAACTTTACCCAAAGACATAGGCACCATAGCAGGGAGACTTAAATTGGAGAGGGAGAAAAGCTATACTTCTGGGAAGCTTGATCATGAGCCATTGCACATTGCCATAATCTCAGCAGTGGCAGACCTTTCCGAGCTTGCAGTGATAGCAGACAGCCCACTGCAGCATGCCTGCCGTGGATTTGCCACCACTGAGGCTGGACCATGGATGCCAGTTGCTGTGCTCGAAGGCCAAAGCCCCAGCCTCCATTCCCAGCAGAAACCTCACTCTTGGATCTTAGCATCTTTTGGGGAAAACTGGCCTAATGCACACAAAGAAGTAATAGTGTCTGATTAGAGGCCTGGGAGCGTCTGCAGGAGAAAACAGATTTGTCCCCTTTTTTGGACTGGCCACACCAACCAGCGGGGCACTGTGGAGAAGGGGTGATAGAACTGTGGTTCCGGGGCCTACCTCTCCTGAGGGAGGGAAGGAGAGGCAAAGGGGTGGGGTTCATGCCTAAGTGGCGTTCAGGCCCTTTGGGATCTCCATGTCCTCTCCTTCAGAGTGCAGTGGAGTGCTGAGATCTCCTTCTCCAGGGGTACAGTGAACTGGGTTAGAGTAGGCTCTGAGGGAGGCCATCCTTGTGGTGTGTTTCAGATTGCAAATCAAGCACAGTCAGCATTTACCTTACTTACTTTAAATGTGATCTAAGAAGAGAATATAGCTCAGTGGTATCAAGCTTGCCTGGCATAGGTAAGGTCCTAGATTTGATCATTACCATTGCATAAATAATAAATAGCAAAAACCAAAAACCCATGTTTTCTTCTATCATGATTCTGACAATTTAACATAATGCTTACAAATTTTCCTTTAAAATTAAACTTAACAAAAACAAGGCAAACCAATATACATTGACAAAGACCTCTTTCTGTATACAGTGTGTGTATGTTGTAAAGAATAGCTTTACTAAAATTATTTACACTATATTCAGCATTTTATAATGAAAATGTTCAAACAAAATGTAGAAGAATTTTGTATTTTATGCCCATCATCTAAATACTATTGTGACATTTAACTACACTTGTTTTGTCACATACCTATCCTCCTCCCCGCTAGATTCTCAAGGTAAGTTGCAGACTTGAGTACATTTTACTCTTCCTTTTGAGGCAGAATTCATGTGAAATAAAATGTGTATGTCTTAAAATAAATATTCATTGAGCTTTGAAAAATGCATACAACTGTGTAACATAAACCCTTGCCAAAATCTGATCTTTTTCCACATAGATTTGTTATACTATCCTAGTACTTCATATAAATAGAATCACAGATTATGCATTGTTTTGTGCAAAGTTTTTTTCTCAGCATAATGTTTTAGAGAGCTTTTCTATGGTTGCATGTATCCGTAGTATATTTATTTAGTCTTACAGAATAGTGTTTTTCATTTATGGATATGCTAGTTTTCTTACCCAGTCTCTATGCTATTCTTTTTTGACTATTGTAAACAAAATTTAGTATGAACATTGTCATATAATGCTTTACGTAGGTAGATGTACGTTCATTTCTCTTGAGTTAATACCTACAAATAGTTTGCAGGCTTGTTTTATAAGAAATTGCCAGACCATTCTCCAAAATGATTATAGCATTTTATAATCATTCAAATTTTGTATTACAGTTACAGTTAATGTACTTCTGTCTAGTACCAGACTGTTATCTTTTTAATTTTAACAATTATAATAGATAAGTAGTGATATCTATGAGATGTATTTTAATTTTTATGCTGGAAAATTTAAATTAAAAAGGGTTCACCTACCAATATAACATTCATATACACACCATCTGTCATTAACAACTGTTTGTGTATATATATTTTGTTTGTTTGTTTGTTTGTTTGTTTTGTTTTGCTTCATTTTGGGTTTTTTTTTTTTTTTTTTTTTTGGTATCTAGCTCATGACCTCACCTGTGCCAGGCAAGTGCTTGTGCCATTGAGCTAAATCCCTGGCCCCAAATGTTAATATTTTGTCATATTTGTTTGCAATAATATTTTAGAGAATTAAAATTTCATAGCTGTAAGTTTTTCTTTATGCAGACTTTTTCCTTTCATTTTCTCCAGTGTGAAACACTAATAAATTTGATATATATCCTTTTTTTAAATGTTTTTTAAATGCTGACTTTATATGCAAGTATCCATAACAATATGTAGCACTATACTTTTCAGAGACAATAACTTTTAAATAAGTAAAAAGTAAATATTCAGAAGATGCAAGGCTATACAATGACAACTAGATCTCTTCCTGCCTTCCCCCGAGTCCGAGTCTGCTTTTCAGGCAAACTTTACTTTATTTCTGATTCTCGTTAGAAATAAAAGATACATATAGCAGCATATGTATATCTATCTTAAATGATGGCGTAGCATGTACACTGTTTCATGATTTCTTTTTTTAAAATTACATTCCAGGTTACTATCAAAAGAGCTGCTCACTCTGTAACAAAACAACTTTGAAACATACTGATAAAAGAACATTATTGTAACTATATGTGTCAATTTTGAGATACAGGCAGATTAGGAAATCTGTATAGTATGGACCATAAGGCTGAGAAAATACGTGCTATAGATAATCCCCAGGGGGGACATTGACACAGCTTCTTTCTGGACTGGGATCCTAGCAATTTGCTGTTTTCATGTCACTTGCTCATGTGTTGTCTGGATCTTTTTGCAGTGGTCTATTAGTTTCCTAGTGAGGAAAAATAATGTGTCTTGAAAAAAAACCTGAAGCATATATAGAATAACAAAATATCGTAGGCAGTAACTCTGTGGTCTTTCAAGATTGTAGGTATCTGGGATTTCTGCTGCTGGATAGTGTCAGTATTTGGTACTAATTCATGGCAATGGATTGGTTTCAATTAAACAAAAGTAAAATCCTTTTTTTCACTCTCAGTCTGTGAAAGCATGAAATAGTATGAAACTCAACACCAGAAACCAGACTCTAATCTTGTTATCCTGTATTAACAATGAAATTATGCAGTAATGTGTTCTTGAAAATACAACTTTATGATATTATGCAGTAATGTGCTCTTGAAAATATAACTTTATAATACAGTATTTAGTTTTTTGGTTGGGGAAAAAACCCTGCAGACATTATTCCATGTCTTCCCCAAGATACACATCGACATTTCATGCAGCCTGAATGAATATGCTTCCTGTTTTCTAAAGTTATTTGTTTTAGCCAAATACTGCCTGTCCTCCAGCATGAAATCTTCCTTTTCTGAAAAGTTGTGCTGCATTAAATTTCTGTGCTTTCTAAAGTAATCACCAGATAAAGTTAGACAGATAACTTATTCCAAGTCTGACTTAGAAGCTCCCTTGAGAACAGTACTGTACCTTCTGTTCTTTTACCTTCGCTAGAGACGCTGTATACTGAGCAGGTAAGTGTATTTTGACAGCACTGTTTTTTCATTCAGGCTTTCTGTCCAGAAAGTCCTCCTTACTTTTTCCTTAGAACCTCAAGAATAGGACTTCGCTGAATGTACATTAAGAATTACTTCCCCTATGTGGCAGTGTCTCCTAAAAATGTTTACTTTGGCACACATGTAATCATAGCACTCAGGAGGCTGAAACAGGAGGATCCATTCGAGTTTGAGGCCAGCCTGGACTACATAAAAGACTGTCTCTAAAACAAAACAGAAAACCTACAAAACAATTTATATTCACATCGGTCTGTGTATTTTAAATGCAAGGAGACTGAGGCAGAGAGTTAGATAACCTGTTAAGGTCAAAAGTTACTAGTAGCCGAGCTAGAATCCAGATCTGGATAGTCTGGCACCAGATTCCTCACCCAAAATCACTTAGCTGTTGTTCTCTCCTCCATTCATTCCTGCCTGTTCAGCCCCACATCACACACTCAGGTGCCTCTCAGGCCTCTACTCAAGCACCACCACATAGAAACTTCAAACTTGACATGCAAAGTGAATTTCTCATCTTTAAACATTCTTCATTCTTCCACATATCAATAAGTGGCATATTATTTATCTAATGGCTCAGGCTAGAGGCCAAAAACTAAACAATTACAGTTAAGTAAAGAAAATACAGAGCATACTGGGTTAGGTATTTATAACCTCATAATATAGGAAATCTTTTTTTTATCTCTTCAAATCAAATAGATTACATGAATATTGGTATTTGTGTATTAATAGCATTTTAACATTTTGCTCTGTTGACTTATTTTCATGTTAGTCAACTTATATTGACAGTTGACTTATTTTCAGGTTAGTAAATTATTAAGAATGTATTGCTTACCTTACTAATACTGTGATATTACTGCAATTAAAAAATCTTTCT